TGCTGAGCCATCTCTCCAGCCTATTTACTATATATTTTATTTACTCTCTGAATGCCCCTCCTACGAACATCCTGACCAAGGGTATTTACAAGTGTGGATGTGGTAGAGAGGCAAGACCTCTGAGCCTGGGATAAGAAACTGGTACAAAAGATCCCTTAGAAAAGTAAAAACATTGGAAGTTGACTTTGAAAATGTATTATGAAATGCCAGAAACTCAACTGCACACCTGTGGAAACAGGAGGATGACACTCATTACTGTCACTCAATTCTCCACATCAACTTATTTTCATACATTTCTATGCTGTGACTTTGCTATAAGACACTGAAATAAAATATAAAGCCACAAAAAACTAGAAAATAACCTCCAATTCCCCCTCCCAGGGGAAGGGGGGGAGTAATATTTGTTTAGAAACCGTTTTAATGTGTGTAGACAGCATCTACACCAAAATGGAATATCTCTATGAGAACCAGAAAGATAATCTAGTTTTCTCCTATAGGACACAGCAAAGCTTTAACTTTCCCACCTGAGTGAGTGCTGTTTTTAAAAATCCTAGAGGTCCAAAAAGCTGTATGTTACCATGCAGCCTTCAAAAAACAGTGAAATGATAAAATACTATTAATTTCTATAGCTAGCCATTGGTTTTCAGTGAGCATGGATCAACACTTCCAAAATTCAAGAGAGGTGAGAGCTAGGAGACACAGGCAGAGAGGATTGCACACGTGACCTCCTGGAGCCCTCCTGGGTCCCCAAGCCCCTGCCCTGGTGTCTCCACTCTCCAGCAGTGACTATGAGATCCTGAAGAGCCTCTGCACCTGACCTCTCTCTCTGCTCAGGCAAGGGTGTCTGTTGATCCTCTCCTCACCCCCTCTAAGTCTCCACCTGGCCAACTTTTCCTTCTGTTTCAAAATCTAGCTTAAGAATAACTAGTCTTAGCCAGGCGTGGTGGCACATGCCCATAGTCCCAGCACTTGGGAGGCAGAGGCAGGTGGATCTCTGTGAGTTCAAGTCCAGCCTGGTCTACATAGTGAGTTCCAGGACAGCTGGGACTACAGGGAGACCCTGCTTCAAAAAGACAAAAAAATAAAAATAAAAAAAAAAATCACTAGTCTTGAAACCATCCCCGAGCCTTTTCCAAAGGCAGATTTTCTATGATGTGCTCATATCGATCCCCTACAGCTTAATAAAGCAAATAATGCTGTAGAATCCAACTGCTTACTTATGTTTCCTCCACTAGATAAATCCATAATTCAGGAAGAATTTCTGAACATGTAGGATTTGTTCAGTCCTATGCTAAGTGTCAGAAGACAAAGATTTTTAAAAGCTCAGTAGCACTCAGTAGCTGCTCAGTGACAGTTCCAGGAATGAATGAATGGAATTAGCCATGAATTAGGAGGAAGCCCAGAAGGCTACTGGTCACAGGAAAGTGATTCTGCTTTTCCACTTCTCACACCCCTCCCATCCCATTGTGTTGTGTAGTAAGCACATTTGTAACCCTCTTCTTTCCCTAAGTTTTTGTCCTTTTCCCTCCCGATTTCTTTACTGCTGCCTTTAACTGCACAAGCTGAAACTTTGGCTTAGGTAGACTGGATTCCACTTGCTACTGTAAGACCTTCAGTTCTTTCCTTAACTTCTGCCTTCTCTCTAAATGGGGATCACAAACGCAAGGAAAGTGCTGCATGGTGCTTAAATACAATTCACATATATAATGGACTGGCTGGCAGGAAACCAGTGCTCAGGGGCTCTTCCCTCTTCTGTCTCTGCCTCTCTCATTCCTAGAGCTTCCTAGAAGACACATTGAAGCACTTTTTAAAACTGCATTATTATTTTTGTATATATCAATAATATATCATTATTATTTGATCTATATCAAGAATATTAAACTAGCTATTAAATCCACCAACCCTTTGTTTTTTACAGTAATCATTATTTTGAGGATATAAAGTTGTTTTTTTTAAGTCTAAATTTTTAACCTAGATTAAGTCAGAACAAAATCAAATCAATAAAGAGGGGGTGGAGAGCTGGTCCAGTGGTTAAGAACACTGGGTGCTCTTGCAAAGGACCCAGGTTCGAGTCCCAGCACCCACATGGTGGCTAACAGCTGTTCTTAACTCCAGTTCCAGGGAATCCGACACCCTCTTCTGACCTCTGTGGGTATTGTACAACACAGGTACACATATATACATGCAGGCAATATCCTCATACACACAAAATAAAAATAATAAATAAAATTTAAAACAAAAAAATAAGGAAAAGAATGAAGGAAAGAGAAAGGAAGAAGACTGATGTGTCGACGAGGGAAGAGCAAAGAAAATGTTTCAGAAAAACAAATAGAGCCCAGGTCCACAAGCCACTGTATTTAGTATGCCTAACCTCAACATTTGGTAAATTGACTTGTAACCATGGGTATGCTATGCAAATCTCAAAGGTCACTGGGCCTGCAAAGATAAAAAGTCTTTACCTGTATGAACATGTCTTTGGACAGAATTTGTTTGTAATACAGCAAGAAAGCAACTTAAAGGTCCCCAGAAGTCTCCTGTCCAATTCTGCCTCTGGTGAAGCAGAGTTTGTTTACACTGAACAGCAATTCACAGAACTTCCAGAAAACCACAACTCGCACTTACATTTCTTGACCTGCAAAACTCTCACTTACATTTCTCGACCTGCAAAATGGGCATAACAATAAAGCCCATCTAATAAGGCAGGCATGAGGATAAGATACAGGGGAAACACTTAGCACAGTGAGGCCTGCAATGGCTAGATGTGTCTGAGCCATTGCCATCACTGATCTGGCAGACTGGCCTCTAGCTTACCTCCTACCCCAGCAGCCTCAGAGAGACTTTATCCCCTTACACAACTCTTGCAGCTTTTTGTTGCTTTGTGATAAGGTTGGCGCAGCAAAAGCTTCATGTCTCTGAAAACATGTAGTACTTAGTAATTCGGGAAGATCAGATATCCTTTTCAAAGGTGTCCATCCTTACAGACTTCTAACACAAACATTTTCTGTGTTCATGTGTTAGAACTGGAGAGATGTAACACACATGCATGCTTGCCAGTACACACACACACACACACACACACACACACACACACACAAATGTGTTGCAAGAAGTTTAACAATCCCCCTGCCCTTTAAGAAACTTGTTTACTGTGGAATCAGTAACAAACCATGGCCTGGTTTCCTTACCTGCCCCCCACATCCCCTCTCAAAAAAAAAAGTTAAGGTCTACAACTGGCAGTTGAAGCAACGCTGACTAGGCCCTGGATATTGCGATCTAATGTTGGGTGCTGGCTCCACACTTACAACACAAGGTAATCTTGTAGTCATGATGACTGTGTTTGAGCAGCTGGAAGCAGACAGGTTGGTTTGGGTAAGCAGCAAATCTGCTATCCAGGTTAAAGCCCCAACGCACTATTGCCCCAAGGACCAAAATGATCTTCTAGAGACACTACTAGGCTAGATGCACCTGCGGAGGCCCAGACCGGATCTCCTCCATGGCAGCTCCAACTCCCTTCCACCAGTCACCTAGAGATCCATAGGCTGTTTGCGCTGAGAACCAGACATCAAGCGCCAATCTGCCCTACTCCAGGTATCTAAGGGCTCCACAGTGGCCCGCGGCTCGGATCTCCAGGCAGTAGCCCAGGGTCTGGAACCCTGCTAGTCATTCCCAGGCCGTCAGCTCCTTTTCCACCAACCTGGTCAAACAGCCCCGGGAGTATCACCTTACCAGTCGGACAAGGGAGGCGCATTCTCTCAGCCTCTCCCCGTGGATGGTTGCGAGGGTCCCCACGACACCCCCCACCCCCAGGCTCCGGGCGAGGGCGCAGTGACACCCGTGCGGTCGCTGGGCGGAGTGCGGGAGACCACTTGGCCACACTGCCCCGACGCGCAGCGCTCTGTTCCCGCGCTCACCCTCTTCCCATCTCCCCTCCTGCGCTCACCCCTCGGGTCGGACCTCTGGTCCCTTCCCGCCTACTCCCTGGCCCCGACCCGTCTCATCTGCGGTCTCCTTACAGCCTTTCTCCTGCCGGTTCATCTCGCGGTGGGTCCCGGATCGCACAGGGAGGCAAGCTCAGGGTCCCGACCCCCACCGCACTCACTTTCCTTCCAGAGCCCCGAGCCCCGCGCCCCGGGAGCACCCTGGCCTTCGGGGCGCCCAGCTGTCAGGGACCACGGGTCTATTTTAAACCCTGCACCCAGCGTCCCCGCCCTGGGGACACGGGCAGGGCTCCAGCGACTCGGGTAACACCTTGCCGGCACGATCCCCCGCGGTCGCCGAGCCAGCTCCTCTAGGGGGTCCGTCCCTCCGCAGGGCGGCCACAGCCCTGCACCGAGGTCTCAAGTGGAAATCCCAGGGTCAAGGGACTAAAGGCTGGGCGAGCCCACCCCTGCCCCTAGAAAGGGGCCACCCGAACACGGCCACCCCGAGAGGGAAGGGGCCCCACCGCAGCCCCTCCGCGCGCGCGCCCTCGCGTTCTTCATGGGTCGTCATCAGCCTCCAACACACCCCCGACGTGTGTGGTCTTTCAGAAAGTAAGAATTAGGGACGGTCAACAAGTTAAGAAGAGCCACAGGCGTATCGAAGCCCCAGACGGCTAGGAGACCTAGATGCCCACGTGTGCATGTCCCAGCGCTCACACAAGCCCATCCAGCCATCCAGGCTAATAGCTAATATCCTAATATCGAGCCACAAGTCTCCACGCTGACAAGATTGTAACAGAAAATGTGCTACATTCACTCACCCGCCTCTTCTTTTACCGTTTGGGTTGGAATCCAAAGAAAGTGTCGGGAAAGGGTGGACTTTGAGACCCTTCCTTTTCTTCTTTTAGCTTTCTAAAGAGTGGAAATTTCCATCCTGTGATAGGGGGCAGCATCCCCGTGTCGCGTTTCCTGCGGACCCTCCCTTCCAGCCCAGCCACCAATCGCCAGGCAGCAACCTGAGATGTCAACACAAGCATCCTCCCAGGTGGGGCCGAGCTGTCCAGCTGTCCCGCAGGAGAGAAGCCTGGGAGCCCAGTGCTCCCTCTGCCCTGGGTCGGCGATCAGGAGATTTGGTGTGGTTTTATTTTTTGACAGGTTTCTTCTTCAGTGAAGGCTGCATTTATTGGGTTTTCCTGTGTGCAGGATCGCCTGTTGATCTTCATTTTGAAGTAGGTGAAAGTGTTCAGACGACTGCAAAACTGACCATCAGGTAAAGAAAAAGGAATTCGAGAACATATATAAATGGAAAACCTGTTGCTGACCTTAGAAGTCTCTGTGGGAGACATGGGTAACCTGCTAGCTCTTACCTGTGGTCCTTAGTGATGCTTTTCTGGGATTCCCACTTAAACCTTGATCATCAGTATAGAAAAAGCTAGAATAAACTGTACCTTCTGCTTGTTAGAGGTTCTATCTACTAGCTTGAAGTTCATATAAAACTATTTTCTGACATTAAGCAAAATTCTTACTTCAAAGAAAGCCCGTGTTTTTTTAGTACTCAATTGTCCTTCTTTGGGGAAGGAATTTCACCTATGGAAACTTGACCTTGGAGGACTTAACATACTCACCAGGGATGCAAACTACTTTCTGAACTCTCACACACATTGTAACGGTATTCAGAATGGTAAGTTCACAGTTTGTCCTTCCCAGGAACACCTAGCACTTCACGAGTTATAGCCCTTGTGTTGGAACCAGGCTGTAACATGGACAGCACTCTAGAACTTTAAAGACAATACCAAAAGAAGCATGTCTGGATAGCATATAGTAATTAGAAACATTAAAAACACTGCATTGTCTCATGCATACACCTATCAGATTAGAAACCCAATAACACAAATTCAATAGCAGGGCGATACAAATACACACTTCCACCACCACTATGGTTTTGTAAACTAAAAGAAAAACACAATATATAAGAAATACTTAGTTTTATGAATGCTGATTAGCAAGTCTGGTCATATGAGCCACCTTTTTGGGTTTTCATGGCAAGAAGTTTGTATTTGTGGGTTTAGAGTATATCAGAATAATTTCAAAATCCCCCTCAGCTTGTTGAAATCAGATTCTAACTATTATGTTTCTCCATTGCTTCTTCTTTTAGATATATTTTCTTTTTAATTGTGTGTGTGTGTGTGTGTGTGTGTGTGTGTGTGTGTTATGTAGGTGCCCTTGGAGGCCAGAAGAATGCACCAAATCCCCTGGAGCTGGAGCCAGAGGTGACTGTGAATCACCTGGTGTGGGTGCTGGGAATCCAACTCAGGTCCTATGCAAGAGCTCTTAACTACTGAGCCATCTCTCCGTCCCCCATTGTTTCTTAAGCATCTTGTATAAAGCTATTAACATGACCAAAACAGCAGGACTGAGAGAGGAGAGGATCAGCGATGGAAAAAAAAAAAAAAAGTGGATATGTATTTCTCAGTGCCAGACCTGAGATGGAGTAAAATCAAAACCCAGGCTTGTCAACAAAAAGCCAGTTCAAAGAAAACACTAATGGAGGTGGGATCAAAGCAGCTCAAGACAGAAGTAGATTCCTATGCAACCACTCAACTTTTTAATGAACTCCTTACTTAATCAGTTCTTGGCATCTGTACCTTAGTTCCTACAAAAAAGGATCCAAAGTTATGGTTCATTGCCTAATTTAATAGAAAACTATGGGTTATTCATTGATATATTCTGGTAATATTAATTAGGTCATGGACTGGGGGGAAATGGTGTTGTGTTCATCTATAAGCAATGGCGTTCTGATTAAAGTCAAGTTCCCATCACTTATGGGTATTGTAGTTCAGAAGAAGATCTCAGAGCAGTGCAGTGTCTTAAGAGCACAAGACAACTAAAGATTCTTAACTTTCTCTTCTGTGAAAAAAAAACATGAAAAGCCATGCAGCAACCCCCCAATCCCTCATGGTTTAAGACCAGTGTTTGAAGGAATGGGAAGCCCTGGGGAGCATCAGGAATGTCCCTGCAGGACCACATCAGGAAGCACATTTCAGCTGAGCATGAGATCATTCACCAATGCTGGAGAAGATAGCTTCTTTCCTAATTTTTCAGTCTTTACCTGCTAGGTGTCAGACCTGGGACAAGTCAGTTATGTTCTAGTGACTCAGTGGATTTGCTCCCCATTTTGATAAACCTGTATTAGTCAAAGAGCTCTACTCAAGGGGGCTAGAGAGATGGCTCAGTTCTAAGGAGCACTGGTTGCTCCTGCAGAGGACCCTGGTTCAGTTCTCACCACCCACATGGCAGCTCACAACCATCTATAACTCTGGTTCCTGGAGACCCTTATACCCTTTTCTGGTCTCCATAGGCATTGCACACCAGTGCACTTACTACAATACAAGCAAAACACTCATACACATACAATAAAAATAAAGCAAAAATAAAATAAAAATCTCTATTCAAAAATTTATTAACATGGGGCTAGAGAGATGACTCAGTGGTTAAAAGCACTGACTGCTCTTGCAGAGGACCGGGGTTCGATTCCCAGCACTCATGTGGCAGCTAACAACCATCCGTAACTCCAGTTCCAGGGGATCTGATGCCCTTCTCTGACCTCCACAGGCATTTCACAACATGGGTACACTTAAACACATGCAGGCAATATACTCATACACATAAAATAAAAATAATAAATAAAATATTTTAAAAATGTATTACCACACTATCCCCAGGAGTGGCTATTGATTTTGTTGTGGCGATTTTGTTTAGAAAAAAGACCTATACAAAGAAAAATTCTCCAGACTGTCTCTCTGGCTGTTTCTATAGTGTTATTTCCCTAAACGGGCTGCAGATTATTTCTCTCTCTTCACAGAGAAAGATATTTCAACAGATCACTCACCATCTCAGTTTTACACATGATAAAACAACTAGATACCAGATCTGAAAACAGAAATATCAAACTAGATCTGGGATCGTAGGAGATCCAGCTCGGTATCAAAGTTCAGACCTTCCGAGACCACATTTGGAGGTCCCATCCAAGAATAAGGGAGGACGGAGAGCACACAGCACACATATTCAGCACAGAGAGGAGAACATGTCTCTTGTAGTCAGAACGCAGCCCCCAACACACTGGTGCAGAAGTGACAAAACACACGAACAATGAAAGAGTCAAACCCACCAAGGCCTCCACTTCCTTCCCCAGCTTGACACTTGGGGCACCTGTCATGTTTCCCAACAGCTAGTATTCTAAAGCCCCCAGTGTCCCCCAACTCCCCAAGGCCCATGGCCTTCCACACCTCAGTGCTTCTCAGCACTGTCCCCTCTTCCTGGAAGCCCTTGCCACAGGGCTCTGCCTGCCAACTCCACCTTTTCTTATTTTTCAAGCCTGAGCTCATATGTTAGTGCTGGGGTGGTTTTTCATGGGCAAGGGGGCATCGCTTGGATTACTTCAGTCCTGAAGGGGGAAACTTCCTAACCCACCTGAAAATAAGAGAATATGAGACTCACAGTCACCCCTGTGCCCCTCCACGTACTGCTCTGATCCATGGGAACTCCCTCTTCTACTCCACCAGAGACCACCGTCCTCCCAGCCCCACCTCTGTTGAGGCTGTCAGGAAAGGACAGCTTGAGCTGGGCCCTTGCCTTTCGTATCCATCCTCTCAGCCCCACAGACTCAAGGCTATGTGCATGTGGCAAGCTTGGACAGCGAGGCACATATCAGAAGGGTTTTCCAGGTATAAAATGAAAAGATTAATGCCGGCTCATCTGACTACACAAAGAGAAGCTCTTAGAAGGGTCATGTCCCTCGGATGCTGCCTTCCCATGAGTGGTCTCTCGCTTCTGGACTCTGTCTGTCCATTCAGCCCCTGATTTGAGCCTTGCTGACTCCTCTCTCCCCTCGGAAACCCACACACTTATTCTCCTAGCTGACAGATATTGATCAGGTCCCTCCTAATTGACAGGTGCATGGAGACAGGGGAGACAAAACAGGAACATCCCGGGTGTTGTGGAGCTCATCATTTGGTAGGAATCAAACTGTGACACGAGTATGGTGAAGGGAAGTTTCGCTGAGGCCGTGACAGTGGGTGAGTGTGAGGTGGCATTTCAGCATCTTTATGTGCCTGGGAGAGGCAGTCATGCCTATAATGGTGCCCCTGAGATGGTGAGACAGGAGCACACAGCCATCCCTCCAGAGCTGCGGCCTCCAGAGCAGGAAGAACACTTCCCTTGCTCGGGTGTTATTCTCTTCAGGGTCTTGCATATGCATGTCTCCAAAACAGGATAAAAGTGGGACTCTGATTTCCCCTCTGCCTTCCTGTCAGGCAGCCTGGGTGGTCTTATCATATCATACTGAGAGGCACAGTTTACTGACTGTGAGGTTGCTGTCTTTGCCCTCTGAGGAGACGGAGTTCACTTGGGGATTTTTCTGATGTGGGACCTTCCACTGATGTGAAAAATAGGGGAAGGAGGAATTTGCTAGCTCAATTCATCACAAAGGGTTCAACATGGGGGGAGTGGACATCATAACAAGCCTGAATAGAGAAAGATCTCAGAGTGAAATGGGCCTGATATGGGGACCCTAGGTACCTCAGTTTTGTGGAGGGCAAGGTATACAAACAGAGGGAGATTCCTTTAAACCTTAAACAAACAAGCAAAATCCTGGGAAGGTCAATTTGAAACTCAGATCTACAGTCAGCCCCACATCTGTCCTTACACTTATGTTGACACATTGCAGCATACCGTATGTTAGGAAAGATGTGTTGCAAGATTCTGCAATATTTAATGGGTAAAGGACAAAGTCACATTTCCACTCACAGTTCTGATTTGTGGCTCTTAATGGAATCAATTCTTATTCTACCAGTTGAGCTACAGCACCCACAGAGGATCCCACTAGATACACTTGACCATTGCTATTCAATAGAATGAGATAACAAGTAAGTTTGTCAAGATGGATGTGACATTTGGTCTCTGAGTATAAATTCCAAATATCCTCTCATCTATTTGAGTTTTCTCTCCATAAACCTGTTATTCTGTCTCCTTTGCTTTCTCTTTGAAATGATCCCACTGTGTAGAGTAGGGTCCCACTTATTTGCCTAAGCGCACCTTTTATACACCTTAGGTTGGTGTTAAGTAGAAAATACACTGGATGGAACGTAATGTTGGTACCTTGTCTCAGCTTCTCACTTGAGTGTCCACCTCTTTATTCTGGTCCCTGCCAGGGCTGTTCACACTTCTACTTACTCTTTCCTACAAGGCAAGAAAGCATAGTCCAGGGCTAGGGAGATAGCTCAGTCAGGAAACGGTTTGCTGCCCATGTATAAGGACCTAAATTTGGATTTTACAAAGCTAGACATGGGAGTAAGAGCCTGAAATTCTGGGGAGGCAGAGACAAGAGGATCCCTGGGGTTTATTGACCTGTCTGCCTATCTGAATCAGGAAGCTCCAAGTTCAATGAGAGACCCTATCTCAAAAATTAAGGCAGCATGTGGTTGAGAAGGACATACCTGATGTTGACTTCTGGCCTCCCACATAAGCACAAACGCCAACACAAAAACACATATACTCCCCCCCACACACACAAATGCTTACATCACCTACACATAAAGAAGGTGTGTTCTACCCAAACATGAAAGCAAAAGCCCGCTTAGCTCCTAGGTGTGGGATCTCTGGACACATCACCAAAACTGAGTCACATCTTTCTCTTCTTATCATAAACTTGCTTTCACTTAGGTCTGAGCAGACTGAACATTTAAGGCAGGCAAACTTTTAGGCACCATCCAAACTGAAGCCCACCGAGAGTTACCTTTCCTGCTTGCCTGCATTGCAAACCCTGAAAGAGTTATATTATGGGGGCCTACCAACTCTCCTGACGTGGAAGAGGTTCTCTTTCCAGAGTGGACTCTGGGGAGAAAAGCAATCGTTTGATGCCTGAATAATGTGTCATTGGCTCTCTCTCACTGCATGGGAAGTGGCCTCCTCTTCTCTTCTCTTCTCTCTCCCTATGAGAATCTTCTGAGAGGTAAGGCTGAGGCCTAGCAGCATTCAGGGGTGAAGGTTAAAGTGCTGACAAGAAACAATTTCCAGGGCTGCAGAGATGGCTCAGCAATTAAGACCACTCACTGATTCTTACAGAAGACCCAGATTCGAATCTCAGCACCCACATAGCTGCTAACAACTGTCTGTAACTCCAGTTTCAGGGGATTCGACGCCCTCTTCTGTCCTCCGTGGGCACTTCATGACATGAGCGCACTTACATGTAGGCAGAACACTCATACACTTAAAATAAAAATAAATAATTTTTAAACAATAATGAAAAAAGAAACAACTTACAAACACATGCTAGGGAATGTCTAAGACACAGAAGCAGGTAAGGCACTCTTGTTCTTAAGATTCCGCAGTGCGGTAGAAGCAGGATGACATGATGAATAAAGGAACTGCTGTTGAGGAGTAAATCTGAAGGAATGTAAGGAAAGCCACCTCACAATCCTACTGGAGAATGTTTCTCAACGTACCTACATACCTTTTCCAAAGCATGGTTGCTATATGTAATGCTTATTATTCCTAGTATCTACCTAGCATTAGGAAGAACCCTCTTTCCCAGGACTGCCTATATATTTAACAGCAATATGAAATCATTGTTAAGCCCAAACTGTGAACGAAGCTCTAACTCTGGATCCCATGCAATAAGAAGAAATGTGCGTCTCTCTGTGGGTTCTAGCTGCTGACAGGCGACCAGGGGTGTGGCCTCAGTCATCTGAGCCATGCAGTTCAAACAAAAGTGTTCAGGCACCATTCAAAAGGAACTGATTGACTAGTAATTTACACTGTGGCCCTTGAATTGGTATTTAGTCATATACTCCACATCACTGTAAGGTGAAAACCGTATCTTTATCTCTTGAAATGCTGGAAACTTCTGCTGATAAGGCACAGGGAGCCTATTTGGAAAACTAGTTCCCACCCTTTCCAAAGATCCTCTCAATGCTAGGGGGTAACCTAGACCTATGCAGCACTGGGCTTTTTGTGTTCGGGGTTCATCCCTGCTGTCTAGGTGCTAAGGAATCCTTTGCATTTGTACCCAGCCACCAGTGACTCTCCTACGACCAGGGCCATGAACTTCAGCAGAATGGAGCCAAGAGGCCTGAAGCCTGGGACCAGACCAGTGTTTTATATACAGCAGGCTCTCTGGATGCCTAGCTGTCCTGGGTAGTCAGTGGCCAGTGTGACACACCTGGGAAGAGGGAACCTCAACTGATAAATGGTCTCCATCAGATTGGCTTGTGGGCCTCTGTCTGTGGAGCATTTTCTTGATTGCTGGTTGGTGTGTGAGGGCCCAGCGCACTGTGGCACTGTGGGCAGTGCCGTCCCTGGGCAGATGGACCTGGGCTATACAGACGAGCAAGCCAGGAGGAGCAAGCATGTGAGCAGCATTCCTGTGGTCTGTGCTTCAGGTTCCCGCCCTAAGTTCCTGCCCTGGCTTCCCTCAAAGACAGACTGTCACTTGGGAGATGTAGGATGAAATAAACCCTTTCCTCCCCAAGTTGTTTTTGGTCAGAGTGTTTTGTTACAGGAACTGAGAGGCAAACTAGGACTTGGAGCAAGAGTGTAAGGAATCCCTCAGTCCTGCCCCAGGCCCACTGAATCAGAAGTGGCTCTTGTTCCCATTGAGGCTAGGACTCCCAGACCAGGCTAATCCACTGAGGAGGTGGATCTGAAGGGAGTGTTGTGAGGATGACCAGAAAACACAGAACCCGAAGGGTCTGGCGATAACTGGCCATGTTGTAAGTGAGCAAGAGGGGAAGGCTGGGTATAGCTCGTGACCCTTGACGTCCAAGCAGACCTAGGAACCTCTAGTGGGTGGAGGGAGACAGCAGAGACGAGTCCCTGGCATAGGGAAATACAGGCACTGGGTGAGAGCTAGGGGCAGATACCAGTCCCTCCAAGAATAGTTGGGTCCAGGGAGAGTTACCAAGGAAGAATTTGCACAGAAGAAATTTATAAAGAAACCGACTCATCTTCAACTCTGAGATCCAAGGCTCAAGGTGCTGAATGTCAGTTCCTGTGGACTGAGGTAGCACTGTGCTGTGGGGGCGGGGTAGGGGCCGGCAGAGGAGGGGAGGAGTGACAGCATCCTGACTGCCGGAAATGAAAGTTGTGAAGGTGAATCTGCTGCAATTGCATCACAGCAAGATTTTCTCCCAGCACTTTAGTCCTGCAAGGGAATGATGAGTCTGAAGGAAACAGGACCCCGGTTAGTTTCAAAACAAAACAAAACAGCACTCATTTCCATTTTCACTTACCAAAACCAGCTGGCTTATGTCACCAATAGAATTAATTTGCATAACTTTTGTCTATTTCAATAACAGAAGGAAGTAAAATAAAAATGTAAAGGGTTTATATAACTAAGAGAAGCACAAATGAGCTTTAGTTAGAACAACCCCACCTCAGAGATGCATTATAAAACTTTAAATTTTATCATAATGTGTCAAAACTTTTAATTTTTTAGATACTATTCATAAATCTTTATTGTCTAGCTATTTTTATATATAGTTTTACCTCTATATAAGCTTAAATTTAATATTGGCTAATATGAGGTGATTTGATATGACATAGTAAAACATAACGGTATAATTTATATACGTGTTTGTGCGTGTGTGTGTGTGTGTGTGTGTGTGTGTGTGTGTGTGTGTACGTTTTCTAAGTACACCAAGATCTGCTTCTTCTCTTTCAAAGCACCTCCAGTTATTTCTGAGCATGTCTAATGGGGGCACCTCATATATTCCCCAACACCAGGAGACCAGCCAGTCATCTAGGCCTATAGAACTTGGGAGGTCTAGGAGGGCAGAAGCATAGGGTGGATAGGATGCCAAGAGGGACATGACAGAGGACAGGAGGTGGGAAGGGTTTTTCTGCTTTGCAAGCCAGTGCCTTTGGATCTGATGGTGACCTCAGTCACCTGAAACCCAGCCCTGGACTCTCTGTGGTGATGAGGACACTTACATGCTTTATCTCCTAGAAATTTTCCTGTTCTTCCATGAGGAAACCTACTCTCCTCCACAAGGATTAGACTCAACTATGTGAACAAATAAGACGTGATTGGTGACTAATGGGGAAAAAATGCAAATAGAGTTTAAAGAACAGGGAGTTCTTGAGAGTCTCCTTGCCAAAAAGAAAAAAAATGTGTAAGAATCTCATGATTTGAAGTATTTCAAATGGCACATGACACTAAAAGGACTTTTGGAGATTTGTTCCATTGATGATGTTGAACTAAGTGCCCAGTCTTGTGATGAAAAGGCCTCAAAACTGCGGAGAGGGGAAAAATTCTCAAGCTTCCATCTCAACATCCCACATAACTCCTTCCATGGAGATAGTTCTGACGCTGTTTACTCACAAGGGGTGGGAGAGGAAGGACTTGAGAAATCAACGAGGTGGTCTCCTTTTACCTCCCTTTTTGCAAAGTAAAGAGTTAGCATTTCCCATACTTTTAATGAATATGTCTTGAGCACGTAACAAAATGCAACCACGAGGAAAGAGCTCATCACCTGTGGGCCTGATAGACATTAGTCTGTCATACCATGTGTCATACGGAGGCCAACTGAAGACAGAGGGTGTACCCAGTGGCCTGCATACCCTTCACTTGGGGGAGGTGGCAGTGGGCTTCCTATAGAGCCAAAGTCCAACCTAACAAAAGTAGAGACCCATAACTCTTTGGTGCTTTTTATGTGCGTTCTTTCTTTTGGTCTTTGATGTTACTAAACAGCCTCTTGAAACAAGCATTTACAAGCCCTTGTGTGTGGGTACCATTGTGCGATGCACTGGTGCATCATGTGCAGTTAATCCCTTTGTCATCCCATGTTAGAGATGAAGAGACACCTGCACAGCATCCACCAGAATGCGTCCACCCTCTTTCAGTCCACAGCAGTGCCTCTGAGCACAGTGCTTCAATAGTATTTACCATCACATCTTAATTACTCTAACATTTCTAACATCTCCTCCACTGACTGCTAGATCAACTATATCCACTTTCTGGTTTCAAGGGAGTCTTTTTGCATACTATCCCACTGGAGTCTCCTTATTCAAGCTTGCTAGCACAGTGATTCAAGGGCACTCAGCTCAGGGTTGTTCTCGGTCCCATCACTTCCTACCTGAGCATGTTCTTCTCTGGGCTTCTAGCAATAAGATTAGGATAACGATGGCATACTTCATGAGGTTGACATGTGTGGCATCACACCCAACATAGAAGGAACGGTACCTTGCATGTGACAAGCACTCAGCTTCTTGGTCCATTTTCTGATGCTGTGACTAAATAGACTAGATATCTAAAGCAAAAAACAAGGGTTAATTTAGCTCACAGTTCTAGAAACTGGGAGGTCCAATGGACTCTGGTGAGGGCCTTCCAAATGGGTCATGACATGCCAGAGGGAGACATATGATGAAGTAGGGCAAGTCCCTGAGAGAGCTGGCTTTTATAACACAGCCATTCATCCCGACAAGAGCCCATCAGTTCATTACTGAGTTAATCCACTCATCACAAAACCACCTTCTGAGAGTCTCAGCCCTCAACATGGCTCCAGTAGGAACCAGTTTCCAACACATGAAACTTGGGGAATACAAACGTCAACACTCAGCAATGCAATTACTTAATGTTACTGTTGCTATCAATTATTGCTTTCTCCCATTTGGTACTAATGTTCCCTAAGACCTGCTGTCTTCCCTGAACTTGTTGTATATATGTAAGTATTTATTCATATACAAGACCCAGATCAAATATATTTTCCTCTTTGAAATCTTTCCTGATCCACACTCCATTTTGAGTCATAGCTATAATTTGTTAAATACATATTTAATATCATTTGTTACACTAAATTACAGTTATTTGCTTAAATATCTCTTGCTAATAACTATGAGCTCATTAAGATGAGCAACCACATCTTGTTTATCCTTTTAATTTCAGCACATCGCCTGTAGATATCTAATTAATTTCAGTTAATGAATGGATGATTGAGTTAACAACACTGGAAGGATGATTCCTATTTTAAAAACATAAACATCAGAGCAGGAAGAGATTTTAGGAATGACTTAGTCTAATCCCATCACTTGAGTGAAGAAATTGAGGCCCATAAAAGCCAGAGTAACCTAAATCACCCTCTTGCAAGTTAGCCAGAATCTGTAAGTAAGTGCTGGGCCCTTGGCTGGAGATTGGAAATCGCTGCCAAATCAGACTACAGTCGTATGCCTTGTCTCTCTGCCTGTGGGTTTTTCTGTGTATATTTTGGGAGTCTTTCTTTCTTTCTTTCTTTCTCTTTCTTTCTTTCTTTCTTCCTTTCTTTCTCTCTCTCTCCCCTCCCTCCCTCCTTTCTTTCTTTCTTTCTCTTTCTTCTTTCTTTCTTTCTTTCTTTTTCTTTCTTTTTGGTTTCCCTTTAGCTAAAGAAATTAGAATGGCCTGAACAGTCACCAGTTTTCACCTGGTAAACCACTTGACTGCCACCCAGGGTGAAGTGATGAAATGGATTTACAGGAACTAAGGCAGTATGAATAATCATCCCCCCTCTCCAGTGTTTTCTGAGTTTCTGCTTTGTATAGCTGCTTTTCAGATATACCAAGGAGAATCAGAAGAAAAGAACTAAAGAAATATTGTAAGAAATACTAATTAGTAAATGAGTTTCTTGGATGTTATCTACTGCTATGCAAAAGATTGTTCTGTGTTTCAAAACTCAGCAATTTAAAATAAAATCAGCCACTTATTTGGCATATAAATTTGTTGATCAGGGACAACTCAGCTCTGTTCTACACAGCATCAACAGTAAGGCTTAACCTCTGACATGACTTACTCACCTGTTGACAAGTTGGTGTTGACTGCCCACTGTATGTGATTCAGCCATGGCTGTTGCTATAGTTTGAAATTGGAAATGTCTTCCAAAAGCCCATGTGCCAAAGCCTGGTCTTCAGGATGCCGCTATCATAAGTGGTGGACAGATGAAGAGGTGGGGCAGGTGGGAGGTTTCGGGTCATTGGAAGATTGTAAGCATGCCTTTGAAGGGGACGTGGGACCTCAGTATCTTCCATGCAATCTCTCTCAGTCTCTCTCTCTCTGTCTCTCTCTCTCTGTCTCCCTCTCTCTGTCTCTCTCTCTGTCTCTCTCTCTCTCTCTCTCTCTCTCTCTCTCTCTCTCTCTCATCTTTGCTTCCCAGTCACCAGGAGGCAAGCACCTCCCTCTGCCATGTACCATGTGTTCCTGCCCCACACCCAAAAGTAATA